GTAATAACAGAATCAATTTCTCGACGACAATGCGCCCTCTAAACAACCTAACATAACCTAAGTTAACCCAATCTTGTCGGAAGTAACCCAGCTTGTGGTGACTGTAAGAACGTACGTATTAACTCGTGAATGGTAAATATTCACCGTAATTTTGGAATGGGCACCGTACACTTTCCAAACTCTTCATGTCTCATATCCTGGGCCTTGAACTTCTCTACATGCGTTGTTGTTCTACGAGTAATATAAGGAATATGGGGTCAGAAAATGGTCTTTGTAGGTCGGGGGAGATGAATTGTGTGTTAATTGGCCCGCAGTACGGTGCAGTGTCCTGAATGTGGATCAGTTGGCCGTCCGTCCAGTTCACTGAAGGAGGAGACAGAGCGTGATACTTTCATATACTCGTCGTAAGTATCACGGCGATGAACGACAAAGACTTGCTCGATGGCAAGTGCTAATGAGCGACGCTTTCACACAGCTTAATTTTTACACAACAACACTCTTGTATTGTTACGTTCGAATAACACGTTTCGACTAATTATTGGACACCTTCAGTTTCATTTTATTCCGTACAGTTCACGAATGTTGCACATGCTGATAGAGAGACAAAGTTGTCCCCGATGCTAAGAGCATTTACTTAAGTCATCTGTATTTCCATATATACTGCCTGTCTGAGCAGTGAGTGCACTTAGTGTTTAATTTTATCAGAAATTTGGGTACTTTACAGGAGGGGGAGATGGTGACTAGAAACTGTATACACAGCGTATCAGCTTACCTTTAATGTATACAGTAATAAATCTGGCAAGGTTTATCAACATACAGAAAGACAGCAAATTTCACCAGTGCTTAATTCTAGCACTTTTAAAATTCACAGCTTTCCAAAATAAGTAAAAGTTAGGTTATGAAATTTAATTAAAAACTTCTGAATAGCTATAAATGTTTGATTTTGTGAAAATGAGGTTATGTATTAATATAGGTGGTTACCAATATTTCTGACGAAAATACTGCTTCCATCCTACGACTATAAACTGGTAATATCCTACAAGGTCACACATCATAACCCAGTAGACTAGAATCCTTTGGTTCAAAATGACTGCGGCCATCTTGTGATACTGTGCATCAAAACGGGGGGGGAAATGAAAAAGAATTGCTCAGCATTCTAAAGATTACACCTGTACAATTAGGACAACGTTGTCTGAATAAATTATGTCTTTATAGCCTAATTGAAACATTATTTGCATAACCATTACACGTCTTGTCCAAGACTTGAACCTGTTCTAGGTCCATGACCTCGTTTCTGTTTCACTGAACGTGGACTGGCTACGGGGAAATAAAATTTTGGTACACAGCAAGAAATCAAACACACAACCTCTTAATGCCCATGTGGGAAGAAGTTAAAGTGGGTAATTGTGAGTACCGAGTTGGAAAATGTAGCATATTTTGAATAATGCAGAAACTTTCCATCAGTCACCTCCAAAACTTCGGTGAATTGTATATATAAACAAAAAAACAAGTGTATTCTGAACTGTAGTTTTCTTCGGGAGCGACGTTAAAGACCAGCGTAAGGATTTACAGTTCAAACTCTGACGAAAACGTGGCCACGACTGACCTCTGAAAGTTGCGTTCGTTCCTCCCCGAATGAATAAGTTACCACAGAACATTTTTATAAATTCTGAAGATCAGTTCCAAAGAATTATCTTCCCCTGCCATGCACTAGCGTTCTTCCACAAATCTAAATGTTTGGAAAGCACTGCAAAATTGAAATAAATATCTAACAATACTATTTTCATTACGACTCTACCATAAAACAACACAGAAAATACTTTGTCACTATTTATATGTTACAGGAAACATGTTCGCTACATAACAAACTCCATCGAGGAGAATTATCATCAAGAAGCCAACAGTCCGCCACCTGCCCCCTATTCTGGGCCGCACAAATTCAATCCATGTCCTCATGTTATTATTTTTAAGTCAATTTTAATATTATTCCCCCATCCCATCTCCAAGTTGTCTGATCATCAGGTTTTCAGATTAAAATTCTGTATGCATTTCTTATCTCTCTCATGCATCAAAAATGCAAAAAAGCTCCTCACCATGAAAAAATCCTCCGTCCAAGTCTTTAGATGACAAGTGAGAAAACAAACAATATATGAAAATCCACCACATGTCACAAGTTGAGTGGTTAGCACTCCTGATTCACATTCAGGAGATCCCTGGTTCAAAACTGCAAATGAAACCCGAATTCAAAAGCAGGGCGGGGACTTGGAAACACCAGAAAATTTTGTGTAAGAACTAGAAACAGAAAACCAAAGAGAATTTTACATACAACAATCAAAATAAAAGACAATTTCTTCAGTTACGTCAGTCTGCTTGGTACCAGATGTAAATATAACATAGATTTAAACATGTGTTCAGCGAAGAAATTACATTCGAAGTTTACCGTAAAACTATGAATTTTCATAAATTCTACGAAACGTAATTCAACTTTACCAGAATAACCGCGCACAACCGAGAACTCGAAATATTCATTAACATTTCCACTTCACAACGCTTCGAGCACATTTTTATAAAAGTTCCAAATTAAGTTGATATATTCTCGAAAATTTCATTAATACAATAAATTCACGCGTTAAATCATATTTCACGGTTCTCGAACTTACAAAACATGTACATATGAAAATTCAATAAATTCTTATATACGACCGCACAGTTGTTACCACCGCCAACTTGATATCAGTCTTACCACATCTTCTTCATGAAACACCATTTATATCAAATTATTTTCAAATTTCTTACACACAATTGGCCAGACTTATCAAACTTCTAAAATACGCAAGAAAGTTTTCCAAATGCCGCGTGCTCTAAATATAAATCACGATAATCGTAATCATCGTTAAAATATTACGGAACCAGTTGATGACGAACAGATATTTAATATTTTATCACATTCCTTGGTGACGGCAATTATTTTGCTTTTCTGCTATGAACGTACGAGTACAAACAAAATTCTTCTGAAAACAGAAAACATATTTTATTACATGATACAGAAATTATGTGCATTACAAAATGACTTATATATATTTGGAATGTGTGTAAAAAAATGTGGCCGATTTAAAGAAAATATAATACAATATTCCCAGTGTTCTTAAAAAAAAAAATGCACACGGTGGTTCTTAAATATAGACCAGTCTTACAGAAATATGTGAAGAGTTGCATGGTAAAAATAGCTTAAGTTACTATAAAATATAAAAAAATTAACTTAAGATACTACGTTTTATAAATTAAGGGAAAACGATTTTGATGCTTTATGTACGCTGAAGGAACGCGGACATGTCTTATCAACACCCTATAGTCTACAAACACAATCTACTACTTCTTTCAGCCATTATTTTTTTCACTTTCAAATTCCGACAGCTTAGTCGAACGCCATACCGCGACGGCAGTGTCGGCTTCACGAAACGCACCCCTCGACAGTTCAATAAATACATTTAGACAAACCCTTATTCCTTCTGAATGCAATGTAGAAGTGTACTATGAGCACTGAAAATGTTAAGTTGTGAGTGATATATAAATTAATAAATTAAAATGGTATAACAGTGATGGATATGAAGTTTCACGTATATCAAAGCCCCCTATATATTAAAAAAAAAAATTCAACTATCACCCCTCCCCCTCTCTCTCCTTCCAGCTTACGTCCATAATTTCAAAATTAAAACAACAACCGGGCGACACGCCACGTCCTTACGGCAGCGCGAAGATCTACGATAATAACTTCCGACATGTCGCCTACAGAGTAATCCAAAATTCACGCGAGTTAAGATATATATGTGTAAAATCATTAGGAACACAAGTCATTAACACTTTATATTGAGCGTGCTCACTAATTTTAATAATAACGTCGCGTGAATATTTTGTGAAATGTAATTTTCAAAAAAATAAAAAATAAATATTCTTGTAAACTACTACGTTTACATTTTGCTGGCACACACTCGCTCTACGACACACGATATTCTTTGAAAAGTCGATTGCTACTCGACGTGTCAAAAAATAGCCCACTTTCTTTATAGAACCTGAAGATTCATCACCATTCTCACAAAAGCCTGCCACCGGACTCTACCCCGAGCTAAGTTGCATCCAGTTCGCTCCATCGATTCCTATCTCCCTAAGGTCCATCTTAATATTATCCTCCCACCTACGCCTACTTTTTTGCTGGAATTTGAGGTATATTTTAAAAATATATTTACCATAAGAATATAACTATCTTTCGTTCTATTTGCATTGCCACAGCCTTCCTGGATATTGCAATTACTAAAATTCTTAAAGCTACGTAGTTCTATAATATTAGTTCACAGAACTAAGTTTGCTTCTCGTAAAAAAATCATAGAAGGCCGTGGTTAGGCAACACCTTAATAAATTCTTGTCTATAAAAAAAATAATTAATGACATATAAAGAGGGCTTAGATTTAAATATTATCAGTTCCACTGCTTAGGTGCATTCGCGACAATAATTTTTATATTAACGGTGACAAATTATGGGCCACAGACCGAAAATCATATATCACGTTACTCTGTGCTTTGTTTCGACAAACCGTCCGCTCAAGATGCCGTAATAAATTACTTGTTACAACCGCGCGAGCAATTTAAATTTACGATAATTTCAGAAAATCAGTTTTGGTTTTAAACGAGGTGTTCCGACGTTGGATCAGAATGCAGTAAACACACACAGATAACCAGGTAATACATTACCAACGGCACCCACTCTTCCCGATGGTTTAAAACGCCTGGCTACGGCTTCGTACCTTAACATCACTTAAGGCATCTTACATAACTTATGTTATATTATAATTAAAAAATGATGTTTTTAGGTCAATTACTATACAAAAACCTACTTTTTGACTTAAAAATACTGGCGATGAAACAATCTCTTACCATTATCAAGTTTAACCTAACTTTTATTTAGTTGGTAACTTGAACAGAACGTCAGGATCGCGTGAGGAATCCAAAACTATACGGTCGTGTTATTTTTGTTGTTGTTGGCAACTGATATCAACAGATCCGGCGTAAAGTACGGCTTGACGTAAGCGAAGTTTCATCACTGGGCCGTATGTCGTTGTCCTCACATAAAATAAGAGGTAAGTGATGGGTCACCTGGATATTTAAGTGACATAATGCCAATTAGCACTTCGTACCATTGAATTAACAGATATTTTAGGGCCATCTTGTTGATGTAGATCATGATTTTTTCCTGATTAACGAGTACTGTGAGTGTATACTAAATGAATCAGAGACATATAAAGTGGTTAGTCGCTATCGACAGTGATGTTTCAAGAACTTTTTATAAATCGCTGGTTTAACCACAGAAAAACCTGCAGATCAGACCGCACGTCACCCACTACGATAACAGAACGACATACAGCTAAACCGATGAGAACTCGCACGATGGGTAAAAACCTTGCACAATTTGAGACGACGATATTTCTCGACTTCACCGAAGTGTCTAAATTAGCAAGAATCAAACCCGGTTTACGTCAAGCCGTTTAATCGAAAGCTCTCTCGAGTCGTGCACGACGAGTCTTTTATTTCAGTTGGCAACTTTGACGAATTCTGCATTGTCATATCCGTGTGGCACAAATGTTGTGGTGGCTCCCTTCCGGTCGATAGCTCTCACTCTGACGAACAAGAACGCGGCGACTAGACATGCGATGACGAGGACCAGCAGCAGCATGACCAGACCACCGACGAAGCTGGGAACAGACATGCAGATGTGCTCTGAGTCAGGTGCCGACGTACTCGTCGATTGGATCACCACGGTCTCGTTGCTGGAGGCGCCGTTGAGTGCGAAGTTGACGTCTCCGGGCGCGACCACCTGAATTATGCGACTCGTGTTGACGTCTGTCATCTCTTGAGCTTCCCGTTTGTAGATGCGGGTAACCACAATTGTGCCGGTGCTACGGCGTCTCCTGGCACCTTGCAGTTCCACCTCCACTGAGCGGGGTCGCCCACCCAGGGTAGCCAGGTTACCCTCGATCTCATCCACAACACCACCCTTTCTCTTCACTGTGATGTAAGAGTTTTGGTGTCCTGGCAGCGGAGGCGGTGGCAGATGTATGTCGTTGGTGCTACCGGATGAGGAATGATGAGGAGCGGGTGACGATGGGTTTGGAGGGTTTGAGGTGGATGAGCTCTGCTGTGCTTGTGGGGCAGGAACAACGTCAGGTTTGGGTTCTGAGAAGGCTCCTGTGGGACCTGAGGGATGACGTGGGTCAGGGAATGCAGCCGGTGCACCGTACTCATTCAGTGGTGGCGGTGGTGGTGGTGGAGCACCGTAATCAGAATGCGTGCCGCCACCATCGAGAGACGAGGCAGGGGCTCCGTACTCCCCACTCAGCCCAGCACCGTGTAGTCCACCCAAACCGAGGGCTGGAGGTCCATATTCACCCCCGAAACCCACAGCTCCACACTTCGGCTCAGGGCAGTGGTACCTGCACACTTGAATCACACACTGGAAATGCACGTTCATGGAGTCCGGGAACTTGAACGCCTGGAAATAGGCAAATGAAACAACGGAAGCAGATGGACCGAAGTTCTTGATCTTCTGGAACTTGCTCATTATCTTGGGTCTCACGACGCAGCCGTACTGATCCACCAGTTGGATCGGGGCCCTCTTGCCGTCGTGCGCCACGCAGTTCCTCACCAGCATGTCGAACTTGCTCTCGTCGTCCTTAATGGCCAGCACCATCGTCATGGTCTGTCCTATCTTCACGATGCCCGACACTTCCGAAGCCCACGGTCCCTTCCCGACCTGGATCTGCATCCAGCACTGGAGGTTGTCGCCCAGGAAGTTGGCAGTGACCGCGTGTAGCATGTCCACTTGGAACGGTCGAAATGTCACCGCCTTCTCGTAGAAATCATACCTAACAAACATTTCGTGTTAGTCTGTTAAAACCTAACGAAGTGGCTGTCAAATTGTGGTCTGAGGGCTACTAGTTCGAGTCCTGAAGACAGGCTCGGAACAAAACACAATCCAGTCTGTGCAAATAAGCGCCATTCCTCCCAAAAATTGAGAAAATTGGTAATGACCTTGAAATTTTATCAGCATGAAGAAACACGGTGAGAAAGACCTACCAGAGGAGACACAGATAATAATATACATACGAATTGTGCTCTTCGATGTTGAGCCGTGTAATCCGGTAGATATTAACCGACGTTTCAGAGGCGACAGCGCTTATGATGGAAGCAGTAAGGACCTCTGAAACGTGGTATCTACCAGATTACACCGCGCAATATCCTAAAATACGGTCATTAAAATCGCTTCTCACCAAGTGCATCGTAATTTCCTGGCTTGGTCCCAGACTTCCTGGACGTACGGGTCGTATTGGATTATGATGGTGTTCTCGACGTAGCTGCCGCTAGGGGTGGGTGCCCCATATGCCCCTGCTGCGTTATGATTCGCCGAGGAGGACATCCCGCAGCTGTTTAGGTAGATCTCAAAGGTGGCGCTGAGGTGTCCCGTGCCTGGCTTAAGATGCACGCAGTGAGGGTCGCTGTAGAACCCTGAAGCACAAAAGCAAAGCCATCGATTGAGGGGCGAAGACTTCGGGACTGATACGAAAGATGGATAACATTTTGTGATTTTTTTAGCGTGAGTAACCACGAGAATAACTGAGTAACCTGAGCTGGAGTTTACGTAAGTCGGCAAGCAAAGATTGGATGAACGAGGATTTTAGACTGATAATACAATTTTACAGTCAATACGAAATGATTGGTATTTATGTTAGGTGTAACGTTAATATTCATGATCATAAATAGACGAATGATTCATTTATCGGTTAGTACATTTTTTCATTGATTTATGATCGATCCTGCGGTATTACAGCGATCGACAGTAGCAGCGAATGGTACAGAAGAAACGAGATAGAATGTGACTGAGAAATACATGACGAGAAAGTATTTTGGTGACTAAGAGTTATAAAATCTTGGGGGAACAGCCGAGTCAATTTGTAGCAGAAGTCCAACGTTCCCTGATGATGGAATCACGGAATGTCTCCGAAATGTTGAACAACTGCTCCAAACTGATGCGGTTGATTGCCCAAGGAAGAATTATAAAGTTCTATCGGGCACGTTAAAAAAAAAAGTTTGGTACCAAAATTACAAAATAATTTACCCTACATTTCGATTATTTTCTTTCGACAAATGTACTGCTAATTTTGTTTACGTACGAAATATACGCAATAACTTTTTGAGAGAGGGCATTTTGGTCTGGCGACAGCGAGGCCCCACCTTTGGAGAAGATCATGCCGTAGAACGGTCTGTCGAACTCGATGTTCACCCTCATGTTCGTCTTCTCGCACTGCACCTGCAAATGTTTGATCTGTGGCATGTCTGGGGTCGCCAGGGGCCACGACTCGTCTCCTCCCCCAATTCCCCCGCCGTGGGGCGGGCCATAAGCTGGTGGCGGGGGCAGATGGCTCGGGGGCCCGTATACCGCCCGGTGCTCCAGGGGCAGCGAAGCTGAGTCCACCAGCGGCGCATCGCTCCGGGCGCCCTACGAACAAACGACGACACCCTTTGACGTCTTCCTTTACCGCAAGTATCGACCATCTCCTCGAACGTTGCGCCGTTTACCGACGTTTCTACCATAACCATCATCTGGGCGACGGAAATTATGTAAACACCTCTGAAACGTCGGAAAATTTCTACCAGACTGCACAGTGCAACGCCCTGACGATGGAGGCAGTAAACACCTCCGAAACATCGGTGAATTTTTACCAGGATAATTGAATAACAGGTAGTCAACCACAATGTAGGAGGTTAAGAGGACAATCCGATATAGTAATGAAATTGGGAAAGTGGGAATTTAAAATTTAGATGAAAATCATTATTATTGATTCAAGAATATTTTAATTTACTGAAAATATCGATGTTGGTCTTTCGAGTAGTAACGTCAACCGACGTTTCAGAGTAATATACTTTCTCCATCTACCCACAAGTCCTCCTCACCGTGTTGCAACCTAGATGAACATCGATGAAATATTAAATTAACTTCATTATCATTAACTACGATTTGTGATTAATGCGACGAATATCATTACCTAAAACGACAGTGAACTTTCAAAACACAGGATTCTCTCGTGTTGTATTTCCAATCGGAATTCGTAATTTAAACCATTACAGAAGTAGAAAGTTCTGTTTCACAAATATCGCAACACACAAATGTTACCCACATTACAGACTGTACGTAATTATCGCAAGTTTCGGAAACGTTTCACCATCCTTACATTTTCCAGTCATATCACATTTCTACTAAGCTATAGACCTGATGATGGCTAAATATTAGTCGAAACATGTAGTCTAACACCAAAGACAGACACTTTTACATTAATTTAAAGTGTGTTAAAAAAGAGACATGTGAATATAAAATAAAATTCAAGAAAAGTTTTGCACTAGATATAATTATCCCATACTGGGTCACAGTTAAGGCTTCAGACATAATCAACATTTGTATTTTTTGATGATTTGATGGTGATAAAAATGTTTGATGGTAACGCAGATCATTATTGGATGAAAAATGGCTGACAAATACGGTAATTAAAACACGCATTTTAAGTTTACGATCTCAGCTTCTATTAACTGACGTGGTTTTCAGTATTCATGTACCACAAATGTAAATTTTAGTCGACAATCATTTAACGACGGGCATTGTTGTCCCTACTGTAATAAAGACCATGTTTTGGGAGCGCCTTATGTTTTGCTTACAGCATGTAGTAACACACCTGCCCCAAAGTAACTCACCTCCTAACCTACATTTATTACTAGCTGCGATCTTCCTTACGTTACAACTTCCGGTTTTGGCTTTTGTTTAGTGCCTCGCGTTATGTTTTTGTTCTCTAATATCACACACATTTGAAGCACGGTCACAACAATCACACGTAAGTACCTTTCCATAACCTCAATGCCTCAAGAAATTTAAGAGACTCGACAAAGATTATTATAACAATTGGCTACATCAGAATGTTAAAGAATAGATTTAATGCATACCGGATTGTTACAAGTGTTTTTAGATCTCGACATTTTTCAATTTATAAAATATTTAACACGTAAGTAACAAGTTTAGTTGCAAAGGAGAGAAAATTTGAGACTGAAGAAGGCTGTTTTCTGGGTTGTAACACCATGCTGTCTGTAAGCAGTTTACGAACATTTTAGAGGTGTTTACCGTCTCCATCATCAGAGCAATGACCAGCTAGTTATTATTAATAATTTTATTAAGCCAAACATTGTTATACAGAAGTAACAATTATTGGACAAATTATTAAGTTCCTCGTCATTTGTTTCCGTTGTTTTAGTGTACGAGGTGCGATCGGAAAGTTTCAAGACTGCGCGTATAAAAACCCGTACACTTATCTCAGGTATTAAATTCATCCATCACCCTCGAAGTAGTTCCCCTGGGAGTGAACACAACGATCCCAGCGCCGCTGCCAAGCCTGGAAGCATCCCTGGAAATCTTTCTTTGTCAGCCTGTCAAGCACCATCTGCGATCGCACCTCGTATTAATTTAAGTACTGTGTAAGTCGATAGGTTATTTTATGTTCCTGTTATCTTTGGTCCATAATTGTCCTCGGTACTTAGTTTTAAAACACCCTCGATCTGCGTTTTTCTTCAAAATAGGGCATCAAAGTGTTTTAGGATACGTAAGAACCATAACAATGAAGTAATTGTTGAAATTACAAACGCTACCATTTTTCGAAACTATTCAAAGATCATAGCTCGAAAAGACGTAAGTTTCAAAGACCCTCATAAACACCAACTTAAAAATGGGGGAGAACGTACAGACCATGGATTAGCGTGTCTTAAATAAGATGATTAATTTCAAGCGATTAACATGAACGAGTGCACATAATTATAAAGTCATTTCTTTTCATGATGCAATACCAACTTGCGTAAACATAATTGTAAAGTCATTTTTTTTCATGATGCAATACCAACTTGCGTATTTCACACTTCCTACTCTTAAAATGCGGGAACCCATATGACCAGGAACAAGGGGTGGTCCTTGGTTCACTGACCCCGCGTAAATATTACCACTACCACGAAATTTTCTGACTCTGATGAGTTATTTAAGGTCAATGGAACAGATACTGTGATTATGTGGAATTAAATAATAATTTTAAAATAAATAGGTTATATAACTACGACGAACCAAATATCACGGTTATCTTACGTAGATCGATAAATATCACAAAGGTTATTTAACGACAATACATCAAATACTACACACTTAAAGACCAAAATTAGGGGTTATTTCAACATAATGAATGAAACAAGTTACTTTTTGAGAAGCTGACAGTCGCTAATATAGTCAATAATCTGTCAGCAGAAGGTTCATTCGACATTATAGGGGCCAGCAAGAATTTGTATAAAAATTTAGGCTTATATTAATTACTGTTAAAATATTTATTCCGAGATGGTCTTTCAACAGCCACGACGAAACGTCCGAAATAAATCAACTATCAGACGCTCCCTGAAAAATTAATATTAAAACAGTGGACGGCGATATGGGGGTGCCCGCATGTCATAACTGAAACTGCGATGTTACATTATTTAGGTCAATCGACTCATCTCATTTCACTCGCGATTTCAACTTCCGGAATGTTAACGTGAAGAAACATGGTCCTTCGGCGAACATCAGATTCGTCAAAGTATTCTGTCCGTGTCCTACTGTGTTATGACGTCCTGTACAGACCCAGTGTTTCGGAGAAATATATCGTTTCCATCTACCAAGACAATTTATCTACGTCTCAAATATTCCTTCGAGGTCTTACGACATATCCCACCGATACCCACCATCCTTAACCTAATCACAGTTTTTAGTAACAACGCAAATTATTAAAGTTAATTGTTCCCCTGTTAACTTCCTCGCTCTTACGAACATTCTCAACGGAATTCTAACCTCAATGAGTGCATGTCCGTTTGTCACGAAACGCTGCAGACTGTCCTATTGTTACAAATGGAGAATGGACGTGTTCCATTTCTCTCGTACAAGTGTAAGGTGAGACAGAGAGAAAGCTCCAATAGCCAGGCGCGCATTGATACATGTGTAACAATGGCGTACAACTTGTTCTCCGAGGCATGAGTTGTGTTTCTTGTTAACAATCCATTACCATTCCGTGTCTGTTCTTCGTCATAAGTCTACTTCCATCACATGAACGATCTTCAAAATGCATTTGAAAGCGCGTTTCACAATGAAATAAACTACATTTAACAGACGCTTTCTAATTCCTGTCAGACTGCATCCAACTCAGTCCTTATTGTGAACTTAATATTACACAGATAAGTGTTCCATTGTTAGTGGCCAACTGTCCCATTATTAAAAATTAAACACGGAACAGGTCCAACGTCTGTGAATCTCCATTTTTACTTATATAAAAACAAAAGAATAAACGTTCACTTGACACCAAAAAATCAACAAGTGCTACCAACTTGTTAAATCAAAATCAAACACCAAACGTAGCAGGTAATAATTTTACGTCAGCAAACTCAAGCAAGACATACGTTAAAAGCTTTACCGTTACAACGATAATAATAACTTAAGCATAAGATACATGTACAGACACACAACATTCTTCCATTAGGACAAAAACTCCGTCAACAGCGTTACTATGGCAACGGCTATAACAATGTATACAAAACGGATATCCTCTTATTAGGCTAATATAATAATGATTCATAGCTCCTCGGGGGGGGGGGGGGGGGTGCGTTTTAAAATCTTGAGTAAGAAACTAATCTAACCCCCTCGAAGTCATTTGTCAAGCCATTTGTTTACTCGGCATTGTTGTGTTGGTACAACAATGCCGAGTAAACAAATATAACGTAACATTGTTTGTTTGGCTACAAATTGGTTGACGACAACGGTGAATCAGAAATTTTTATAGTAGAAAAGATCTATTTATTTGTTAATTCATCTACGTTTTGACTGCTTACATATTTAGTTAATTAATTTAACAATAACAAATAAGCAGCTTTCCAACGATCAACCGGAGAAATAATTACGTTACTAAACAACACAGATATTAGCAAATCCAAGGCATTATGGGAAATCAGAGATTAGGGGAACCGCTTACAGTTGTTGACGCCCCAAAAAGCCTTAAGTCATAAAATAATAACATTAAAACTGTTTTAAAAGTCGAATAGGAATGTCAATCTAAATGCTAAGAAAGGAAAAACTGGTTTCAAATGCCATTACAAGCCGACCTCATAAAATGTAGATTTCTTGGCGCGAAAGCTAACTGCATACTTCAGTGTGTGAGTCGCGGATGCATCGCTGATGGCGAAAACCGAATACAAATGGAAAACAGCCTTTATTTGAAATCTGGGGCTCGGGATCTGAAGTCGAAATTTTATTAAATGTAAAATGAAACTTATCTATAACAGATATAATGCTCAAGGCATGAATTAAATCACACTTAAAACGAATTATGGAAATACAGATATAAACTTAAATCCAGTTCTTTTTAACTCACTTCAAGTAGCAATAATCCGAGAAGACATATTGTAATGTAGTGTTTCATCCTCTTCATATCGCCTGAAGATGTCTCGTACGTCAGTCCTGAAAGCAGAATTGGTAACAGTTGAAGGAGACGGTTTTGATCCAGTAAAATTTTGTATTTTAACCTCTCAATGCAAATGATTAAATGTATCACGTGCTTTGCCATAAAATTATACATTCTAACCACAAAATATACTTATGTTTTTTTATATAATACTTAGAATAAACGGTGATTAACGTCCCACAAAGTATTAACCATCTTTGAGGTAGAACAGAATAGATAAGCTTTGTGCTTAAAGCGTCGATTGTTTTCACGTTTTAAGGTAGTTTTATTTATCATAAACGACAATCCTGACAGAAAATAACTAGTGAAGATGGAAGTAATATATTCCTCCGAAACTCTGGTATGTACCAACATGGCGTCACAACCTAGATCAACATCTGTTGTTTGCCGCGAAATGCAAATGTACTCACTCTCCATAATGGTAAGACTACTAACCATTGTTTAGAGTATCCTGGTCCTCTATGGCAGTGGTATTCAACCTGGGGTACGCTTCCCCCCGGGGGTAACGCGAAGACATCTTAGGGGGTACGTGAAATTTTAAAAAAAATTATTTTATGATAAACACTGAATAATCAGTAATGTAATTTGTTTAATTTATTTTAGATGTAGATTATATACTATGTATAACTTGAATTATACACCAACAACTTTGGGGGTACAAAGTTGAAGAGAAATTATATCTGAGGGTACGCGAACACAAAAAGTCGAATACCACTGCTCTATGGAACCCAAAGGTCCACTGCCGTTTCAAAATATCCCGCGCCTACTGATTCTAGTCCACCAACCCCCAATCCAAGATTAATTTTAATATTATCCTCCCATCCAACACTAGGTCTCTCCACAGTGAACAGTATACTTACCTGCAATACAAATTGAAAACACATTTGTTAGGTTTATCGCCTTCCGTACACTCCGGTTGTAAAAAAAAGTCCGGAACACCCGGCTATAAAAACATACGGACTTCGCTACTCGATTGTTTGAATATCGTATCTTATCGATCTATAGATCTTTGCACCACGGAACCTGATGAACTACTAACAACGAAATTCCTGTCTCGTCGAAACATTTTTATGCCGACCCAGAAAGGTAATAGCGTCTTCCCCCACAAAAAGGACCCCGCCAGAGTCAACCAGTCTAAAAAGTGAAGCCCTCTATATGAAAGTTTCAGAATTGTGTGTCACCGTATCACTGTGTCGGAATTGGTGTGCGTCAGAACCATTGCAACACTTTGCCTTATGACCCACTGGGTCGTAATGTTTCTTTCTCATTTGAATCGATGATTCGTGAACAGATGTCTTCAGGAAGTTGAGCATGACAGCTAGGAACACAGCCCTCATCGTCTGATACACATACGTAAACTGACTCCCTCCAGGACATATTCGTATTTCTTAAAATAGTTTTCCCCGCTCTGGTGGAATGCAGTCTTCCAGCTTGTGAACGAACATGAAAATATCAGCGAACCAACAACCCAAAATACCATGTTCCACATTTTCACTACCGTAAAAATCTAAAATCTCAACAAAAGTCTAAAGTCTTAACCCTGTCTGTCTTCTGGGTTGTAGTTATGAGACTCATCGCCCTGATGATGGAGGCAGCAAGGACCTCCGAAACGTAGGTAAACTTCTACCAGACTACACGGAGCTAAAACCCGGAAGACAGCAATCTTCGATAATAATAAATTCAGTTTAAACACGTAATTAAACAAAATTAGATCGAGTAATCGCGAGTCACATATGGAAATAATTTGTATATAACTCTTGAACGCACGCTTGCCGACATATTACACTTTTGTTCTGTTTAATTTAATTCTTAAGATATCAAAACGTTGGGTACTAAAGACAGATCACTGGAAGGGCTACAGTAAACGACATCCTTTCTCTCATACCTGTCAAAATTACTTAATATTCTTACAGAACATGATGAGAAACAAAGCGAACACACATCTGCAAAGTTATAAGCGATTTATTCACAAAACATATTCCACAGACGTGAAGCACGCAATTTTGAACCTTATTCCACTCCGATAACGCCATACGTATTACATAGAAATGGTACCTAATCCAAAGGCGAAACCGATTTCAAAAGGGGAACATCGCTGACCTACTAAACGTCTGAGCCCGAGGGCTGACCGACTTTTCCCCTCCACCATGAGTCCGCCTTCACACTTAGTGACGTAACAAAGTCCCGTTACCCGAGAGTCTCCCTCTGTTATGGGATACCATTATGAATTCCGGTCCCCCCCCCAACATTCTTTTTTTTTTCCTTTCTTTCTAATTTCCACACCGGATACCAGACGCATGGCAGCGTTCGAATGTAGAAAAAGGTACTCTGTAATTTCGTCAGGTAACATTTCGCCTTGGTTGGGTAACACAAAGTGGCGGACGTACAACCTTCCTTGAGGACAAATTGAAACCGGGAACAGCTCACGACCTTGCGAAATATTGCCGAAGGTACGAGATCAGGTATCACGGTGCGTTGTTCACCCGAATAAACCCGAAATACAGCGAAGTTCGATGAAAGCTGACAGCGATTAATTCAAACCCAGAGATATACCTGTGTTTCTCACCCAAAGAAACTGTACCTACATAGCTGTAAACCAGGCCTTTCTTTACCTGCAAAGTGGTTATAAAGCTACGTATCCTTTCCTATCGTAAAAAAAAAAATCTGTATACGAGGCTGTGGGGTCCGAAGCGTCAGTCCTGATACATTCTGCCCATATCGAGAATCGAACCCCCCTTTGTCCAACCAATTCATCGATTCTTTCAGACACCTGACATGATTCTTATATAACATTACAAAATTATGTTCGCGGAAATTAATGTTTCTGATGGATCACGAGTCAATTCCTACTGGTTAAACCAGCAGATAACCACCTGTTACTATCTGGGGCAAATTGCCTGTCTTACGTTAACAGTTGCTAGGTTACATCCGTTATTTAAACGTGCGTTGCCTAGTGATAAACGCAGAGAACAACCAGAGACTCCTGTTACATTAGAAAGTTCGCTTAAGAGGACCTCTATATCAGTCCGACAACCCGCATCATTAGTCCTAGCGAACATGTGAGTATCGACGTATCATTATGTCAGTCTACGACAATTTCTGATGCACTTTCACTAGGGGTGCCACGGTTAGGAATTATTACAAAAAGTTGTCAGTGGAACCACGGTTCCGGAGAATTTGACGTAAATACGTCTATACAGAAAGAAAGTTTATATATTGGCTTTATTCTAAATATTTCCTTTATACCTGCTTTACAATTGAGTAAAGTTTGATTAAGACATTGCTTATTTAACTTCAATTAGTAAGGCTTCAGATGGGTCTGTGATAGATGAATGTAATGTAAAGTAATGTAATGTAATGTAAGGTAATGTAAGTTAACTATGTAGGTAACCATTGTTGTTTATTTGTTGATAAACACATGACGTTTCCAAGGTAACATAACAATGAAGTTACACTTTTTCGTTACATTTTTGCCGAATGACACTGACCCTAAAATATAGACGTATTTACGTCAAAAAAAATAACAGGCAGCTAGTTAACGCTAACAAACTCTGGCTGACTGGACCTGACTAACGATGCATTTTATTTGATCAGTTATGCTGTGTTAACGACAACGAACAATGAAATATCAATTATTTATTTTAATTCGTCTGATCACAATATAATTTTTATTTAAAATTTCTTATAATTAAGATAATAAAATATCATTCATGTTCCATATCGATTGATCGATTTACAACATCACCAAAAAAACTACAGAAATCATAATTGAGTTTTAAGTTCTTA